GAGCCATTTAGACTTTCACTGAGCCAACATTGACCCCCCTCTCCGGAACCAGGGGCCTTCAGCCCAGGACAAAAATGAAGCAGAAGCAGAACTAGTGACAAAGAGGCTGTGGGGGTCAGAGGACCAGCGAGGGGACACAGGGAGGAGGGGATGCTGACACCTCGGTGGGAACTGACCCTGGTGGGGAGACCCTCTGTCTCACCTCAGTGTGTCTGAGCATCCAGTGAGGGCCTGGGGGCTGCTGGAGGCTCCCAAACAGACCCAGACCCAGGCCATGGGGCAGCAGAGGCCCTGGGTGGCTGGACTGGCCAAAGCTACCAATGGGCCTCAGTCCCAGCCAGCAGGAGCCCAAGCCTATTCCTCCCGAAAGATGCAGTAACAGATAATCAGTAAGACGGCAAGGAGGAAGATGAACAGAATAAGCAAGACCGCCAGCATGCTGATCATTCTTAGTGCAGGGACAGGGCTTGGAGATCCTGCAGGGCTCACCGGGCCAGCTGCTGGCTTCCAGCCTAGACCCTGGGCATCACCTCCTTCGGACAATCTGTCCAGCCAGCCGAGACCCCATCTCCCCATCCTGCCCATCTCCAGGCTCCAGGAATCTCTCAGCCACTGTGAGGTCACAAACTCCAAGAATGCTGACCTCCCAGCCACAGCCCAATCCTTTATAAGTGTGACCAGTATGTTGAAAGAGGGACTTTTGGTATGTCATCATAAAAACATTTTTTTTTGCCTGTCTCTTTAAACTTTCTAAGTGGAAGTATCTTTTCACTGCCCCTAGAAAAATATCAGGCAGTCGTCATCAGTCTTCTGATCATTCTTAAGTAACAAGTCTTGTATTACTAAAAATGGGGAACATAGTTTTCATTCAATTATTTTAAATGTCTGTCTCATGTATCAATCGTGTTTTCAATGATCATTGATAGGTCAGACTTCTCTGCTCTCCACCAACTGGCGCCAAGCACAGGGTGGGTTGCTGTCTGCTGGGAGGGGATGGGAACTTTCTCCCCTTACTTATCCAAATGTGTTTCTCTTCACCAGGTTTCTGCTCACTCTCCCCAGCCCACCCCCACTCCCAGTACCTCCAGGATCAGGATCAGATGGAATGACTAGTGAGATGGGGGAACATTTCTCTCCAGGCTGGTCATGAAATTAATGCTGAGCATTCTCCCTCAGCCCCTGTTTCAGGGGTTCTTCAGAGACCCCCCTCCTGGTGCCCTTCGACTGTACCCCCAGTGATGTGAACAGGCCCTCTTCTTGGGGTCCCCTCCCCCTAGCAGGCTCCCTGTAGGGCAGAACCTCTTGGGCAGCGCACGAACCCGCGTCCCCTGCATCGGTAGGCGGACTCTCAACCACTGCGCCACCAGGGAAGCCCGACAATGAACTTTTGACTGAGGAGTGGGTTGGGCACGGGTCACCTGTGCTCCCCGATTCCAGGTGACACTTATCAAGCTCCCATGTGTTCCTGCTGAAGCTCCTGGTATGAGGATCACCAGAGAAAGGGGAAATTCCTCCTACTCTCCCTCTTGGGGGCAAGGTGGGGGGAATATTTTAAGACACAGAGTCCATAATTCCCTCTCTTTTTCATGTCTAACACTGTACTGTTAAGACCCTCAAATTAGAAGAGAGAATTGAGTCACAAGTAACCATTTTCCAGTTATTTTCTTCCTAAATTCTGCACCTGGTCCAATGTCTTCTTTAGAAGGCCGCTGCCATGATAGCAGGTGGAACCTTCAAAAACTGCCAAGACTGAACCACCTTTTACCTACCACAACTGTGATTCGTTGTTGTTCCACTGTTCATTCCACTATCTTGGTGCCTCCTTGGTGCTTGGGCTGAAATGTCCATTTTAATATCCTGTTACACTAACAGCAAACATCAACCATGCCTCTTAGATGCCCAGCCTTCTCTAGGCACTGGGGATGCAGAAATGAACCAGCCTAGATCCCCTCCCTAGCATCATGGGTGCACAGGGTACAGGAGATCATCTAGGTTGGAATTGTGGCTCTGCCCCTTCCCAGCTTTTAGAAGGCACCTTTCCCTTAATCTCCAGCTCAGAACAACGAGGCTCCCAACCTGAGTGTTGCAGGAGGCCCAGACCCTCCTAGGATGTTCCAGGCTCATGGGTGGTGGGGGCCTGTGGCAGGGACATGCTCTCAGCCTCCTGCTTGCTGCTCTTCTCCTCTGGCTCTGAAGAGCTGATCAAAGCCAGATGGCCTTAGACGTGTTCTGATATACAGCAGCCACCAGGCACATGCAGCCACATGTGGCACAGAGCACTGGAAATGTAGCCAGTCCCAACTGCAATGCACTGTCAGTATAAAACAAGCACTGAGTCCAAAGACTTTGAACAAAGGAAAAGAAATCATAAATATCTTATTAATAAGTTAAAAATATTGATTACACACTGAAATGTAATATTTTGGTTATCTTGGGTTAAATAAAATATACTATTAAAATTAATTTCACCTTTTTGGGTACCTTTTTATTTTTTTTTAATTTATTTTTATTTTTTTTTGCGGTACGCGGGCCTCTCAGTGTTGTGGCCTCTCCCGTTGCGGAGCACCGGCTCCAGACGCGTAGGCTCAGTGGCCATGGCTCACGGGCCCAGCCACTCCGCGGCATGTGGGATCTTCCCAGATCGGGGCACGAACCTGCGTCCCCTGCATCGGCAGGCGGACTCTCAACCACTGCGCCACCAGGGAAGCCTTATTTATTTATTTTTTTAAATTTTTAAAAAAAATTTTGGCCATACCTCATGTGGCATGTGGGATCTTAGTTCCCTAACCAGGGATGGAACTTGTGCCCCCTGCAGTGGAAGCATGGAGTCTTAACTACTGGATTGCCAGGGAAGTCCCTAAATTTTTTATCTTTAATTTATTTATTTTTATTGCAGTAGAATTGATTTACAATGTTGTGTTAATTTCTGCTGTACAGCAAAGTGAATCAGTTATGCACATATATACGTTGTTTTTTATAGTCTTTTCCATTATGGTTTATCCTAGGATATTGAATATAGTTCGCTGTGCTGTGCAGTAGGACCTTGTTGTTTATATGTTCTGTACATTTGGTACCTTTTTAATGTGGCTCCTGGAAGGTTTAAAATTACACATGCGGCCGGCCGGCATTATGTTTCTACTGGAGAGTGCTGCCTTAGGCTCTTCAAATACAGCACCCTCTCTCTGCCTCATAAATAATGTCACGGTGTCCTCACAGTGACAGAAGCCCTGGGCTTTCTCAGAAATACCAAAGTATAGCAACTACCGCGCTTGGCCATCTGCTCTGTGCTGTGTTCTCGGTGTGCATTGTTTCACTTAATTCTCACAGCAGCACTGTTGGGGGAGGGAGGACTAAGACTCTGCCCATTACCAGAAAAGGAAAACTAAGGCTGGGCAAAGTTAGGTCACTTAGCCAAAGCCACAGGGAGAGTAAGGGCAAGAGCAGGAGGCAGCAGAGGACACTGGGGCTGTGTGCACACCTGACCCCTTTGTCCAGTATCCTTCCAGCCACAGCATCCCATGGCCCCTCCTCATCACGGAGATCCCCAATGTTCTCACAGTGTTAGAATCCCACAGGCTCCTCTCAGGTACAGAAGATGGAGTGTTCTCACCCTCAGAGGCCCCCCACCCCATTTCCTTCTCCGCCGCATCGGTCAGGCCTGGATTTCCACATTGTGCTGACTTCGTGAAGCGCCAGGAATCTGAAGTGGGGAGATGCTTGCTCGGACACAAGCGTGGGCTGTTTGCACTTCAGAATGTGGATCAAGTTAGTGGCGGGGTTGCCTCAGGTCTGAGAGAGACGCCCGGCCTAGGATGCAGGCAGTGTTAGTGCTTGCAGGATTAGGTGCCGTGAGCCCCCCCTCAAGCCTCTCTGCAGTGCCAGCGGGAGTATGGGGCCTCTGTCTGTCTTCTCTGGCACAATGCAAATCTGACCAGGTCCCCAAAATGCAAATTTGATCAAGTCCCTCTGATTCAAGACTGCTTTTACTTTTAGGATGGCATTTTAGCAAAGCACCTGCCCGCCTCTGTAGGCTTATCTCCTTGTCACCCTCATGATCCAGTTTCAGGTCATCTGAACAATATTTTAGTCTGGTGATGTGTCCAAATAACTATATGGCCAGAATTCATTCATTTGTTCAACTGTGCCAGCCACTAAACTCAATACAATGGTCAATCGGACAAGATGCCTATTGTCCACACAATACGTGAGTTCTTCAACCTAAATATCCATCAACAGATGAATGGATAAAGAAGATGTGGTACAGATATACAATGGAATACTACTCAGCCATTAAAAAGAATGAAATATTGCCACTTGCAGCAACATGGAGGGACCTGGAGATTGTCATACTGAGTGAAGTATCAGACAAAGACAAATATCAGGATATTGCTTACATGTGGAATCTTAAAAAAATGATCAAACAAACTTATTTACAAAACAGAAACACACTCACAGACTTAGAGAACGAATTTATGATTACCAGCAGGAAAGGGTGACAGGGGAGGTATAAATTGGGAGATTGGGATTGACATGTACACACTGCTGTATTTAGAATGGATAACCAACAAGGACCTGCTGTATAGCAGGGGTAACTCTGCTCAATACTCTGTAATAACCTAAATGGGAAAAGAATTTGAAAAAGAATATATATATATGTAACTGTATAACTGAATCACTCCGCTGTACACCTGAAGCTAACACAACATTATTAATCAACTATACTTGGATATTAAAAACAAAAAAGAAAGAGCTTTTGCCAATTAAAGCTCCTCATGTGGAAGAGTCAGCATTCCTACAAATTAATGACAAATCAGTGACAACAAACAGAACACACGCAGAAAAGCAAAACAGGTGAGGGAATGTTATTTTCAAAATTTCAGACTGCTTCTGGAAATTACCAAGTCATCCTGACGCAGAACTCGGGCTCCGATCCACCAGAGGTCGCTGCAGGACCGCGAGCGAGGGATCCGCTCCCGGCGACGCCGCTCTAGGCCGCAGGCCTCGTCTCTGCTGCAGTTCCGCCGCCGCTGAGCGGGTGGAGGAGGTTCCCGGTTCCGGTGCCTTCTGTTTCTCTTGGATCCACGCCATCTCCCAACATCCGCGGACGTCCGCGCCTTCCCGCACTGGCTGCAGTGTTTCCTCCTCTGTCCCGCGCCATCTCTCACGGCGACCCGGGTGCGTTACTGAGGGGAGCGCTGGGCACGTGGTCTGCTCCGCCCCCTCCACCCACCCTAAGGGGAAACTGAGGCCCGAGAGGGCGGGGAGGGCCACATGTCGACTTCTCGGCCCTCGTGTCTTCGACAAAGAGGCCTCGGGTCACCGCGCCACCGGCCGGCGCCGTCTCGGAGCCTCACCCGCCCCGTAGGGAGACTTGTGCCCGCTGATGTTGAGAGACCGGTCGGGTGACGCGTGGGCCCGAGGTCCCGCAGGGGGTCGTGCAGAGCCCGTGTGAACCTGGCCCGAGAGGCGCCAGAACCCCTGATTCACTGCCCATCACCTCCGACTCCAGCGTTTCAGGCCCCAAAGCCGCTCGTCGGTTACCGGTCAAATACTCTGGTGAGCGTTAGCCCATTTCCCCCTAATAAGCTTTAAGGGAAAGTGTTGAAACCTCCTTTTAACAAACGGGTGTTTGAGCTTTAAAGTGAGGGCGCCCCAGCCCCTTGGGCAAGTGCTGCTCCTGAGGGCCTTGAACTGGGGGCCGTGGCCTTCCTGCCATGCGGCAGAGGGGGTGGTCCCTGGGCTCAGGGGGGTTCTGGGAACTGTCTTGCAAAGCCTTGTGCAGGAGAGTGGGGCTGGGTTTGGGGGCCAGAAAGGCCTGAGTTCAGATGCTGACGCAGCCCCTCGTTAGCCGTGGAACCTCGGGTGAGTTACTTCATTCTCCTGAGCTTTCCTTTCCTTCCAGGGGGGAAACAGCAAGCAGTCGGGAGGGCAGAGGCCTGGTCTGTGTCTTTGAACCTCCAGTGCCTGGCAAGTGGTTAGTAGGTACTTAGTTGGTATTTTGTGGGTGGAGGAGTACTTGAGGCATTTTTACGAGAAGTTGGTCTTCCTGTGGCCTCTGTTGATGAGGGGAGATTGAGTCTTTCCATGAAGTGAGGATAGTGTTGGGGTCCCGGGCTTGGCTGGGCAGCTTTCCCCTGCCTGGGCGGAGAGCCGGCTGCTGACATGGGCTCCTCTGCCTGGCTCTTTTTCTGTCCTTTGTTGCCCCTGCATTTGGAAGCGATCATGGGCTGCCCGTGCCCTGGTCACTGGTAGTGCCGGCAGAGGAGTTGCTGAAAGTGTTTCCCCGTGTTTGGAGGGTTCACTCCTGTCCCTTCCCAACTCTGGAGCTGTCCCACTCGGCCGTCCTCCCGCCGCCTTTCTATTATTTTACTATTTTAATATTTTAATAATTACTGCACACCGCACGGCTTGCCGGATCTTAGTTCCCTGACCAGGAATTGAATCAAGGTCGTGGCAGTGAAAGCGCACGGAGTCCTAACCACTGGACCTCCAGGGAATTCCCCCCAGCGCCTCTTTCGATGTCTCCTGGCACCTGGTGTCTGTTGAGTGCCCTCTGCCTGGCTTGGTGCTGGTTTCTGAGGCTTTAAAAAAGGAGAATGGGAGTGGGTCTTGCCACAGCTGTGGTCTTCTGACCCTGGTCTCCAGTCTCAGCAGCCCTGTGTTCTTTTCTGCCTCTGGATTTGAAGTGGTTACAGGCTGCCCGTGTCCTGGTCATTGGTAATATGGGCCAAGGAAAAATGCAAGACTTTCCCCATGTTCAGGGGACCCATACTTGTCTCTTCCATACAGGACAGCCTTCAGTGACTAGCAGTGACCAAGCATGAGGCAGTCCGAGGATGGAGAGAGTCAGGCTGTAGTGCGTTCATTGCCTAAGACCCGAATCCCCCCAACACACACATCGTGTTTTCCTGTCGATGAGCATAATGGTTTCCTGCCAGTTGGGCAGATCACGTGATGGCTTCTTGTCCCCTGCGGGAGTGTCACATGGCTGCTGTTGCATGAGACGTGTCGTCAGGGAGCGCCAGGACTGAGTCCCAGGTAAGTGGTGTCCCGCCCGTTCTCTAGTACTTGAGTTGTGTGCAGGCTGTGAGGCCAGAGATGTTGGGTGCTGAGGTGTGGAGAGCGAGGGTGCAGTGGAGGCTTGGGCCCCCTTCTGCTCCTGAGAGCCTGGATGGAGGCTGCTGTGATGTTCAGAGGACAGAGATTCACATCCAGTGACCAGCCAAGTGCTCTTCTGTGAGCCTGAGCGAGAATTCTGTCAGGTGTTACACACATTCCTTCAGGACCTAAGAGTTCTCAGTATTTCTGCCGTTAGTCTTCTCTTCAGCTCTTGGCAGGGACTGGTGAATAATCGGGTGGTTCTGTCATCTTAGGCTGGAAGTCTGGTCAGTGACCTGTCTGCTGGTCTGTTCCTAGGCCAGGCCGTTTCCCAGGATGCTGGCAGTGGCCTCCCTTCTCCGCTGCCTCACTGCCCTTTTCTGCACCTGCATTCGGAAGTGATCGTGGGCTGCCCGTGCCCTGGTCATTGATAGTGCAGGGAGAGGAGTTGCTGAAAGCGTTTCCCCGTGTTTGGAGGGTTCAGTCCTGTCCCTTGCAAACTCTGGAGCTTTCGTACATGTCTTTCTTCCCACTGATTTGTGTTGCTTCCTGGTCCCTGGTGCTGTGTGCTCGCTGAGTGCCCCTGTTCCCGAACAGGGCCCTGCCTTAGCAGTTCACAGGCTGGCAGTGGAGGGCTCCCCTCTGGATGTTTTCTCTGATTCCCCATCGCACCCCTTCCTCATCCCGCATCCTCAGCCCCGCCCCTCAGCGCTGATCGCCTAGAAAGTGTTGATTTGCTGATCTGGCCCCTTATGCTGTAATCTTGAGGGCAGCGCCTCCTTGTTTTGCGTTGCGTCTGGTGCCTGATGCACAGCACCGGGACCAAAAAAAAAAACCCCAAAGAGGTGGAGATGACCCATCTGTTGTGAGGTGACAGGGCTCCTCCCATTGCAGAGTGTCAGGGAACCAAGCCCTCCAGCAAGCCAGCCTACCGGGTCAGCTTCCTTTTCTCCACTGGAATTGTTTCTGTAATGAAAGGTAGACTTACTATAATCTAGGTAGACTTACTGGTCATGAGCAGGGCCTGTGGTCCGCTGTGGGTGTTTTTCTAGTGACCGACCTGGACAAAGCCCAGTATAGTTGAGGATGCATATGTAAGTCGCCCTTATACTACGTAGCAGGCACGGGGCCCTCCCCCCACCTGTTACCCCTCCCGGTCCATTCTAGTCATTGCCAGGCAGCCACAACCTGCAGACTGGTTAGCAGCAAATTGATCACAGTTGGCACATAGGGTAACGTAGGTATTATTCCTGTCAGAGATGACCTGCAGACCCCCTCCTAGGGTTAAATCGTCCTTGTTCCTGAGACCGTAGTGTGGCCGTTCAGGTACTGCAGTAACAGCCTGCCTTCGTGGGTGCTAGAGACTGCCAGCTGCTGTGCCAAGTGTTCTGTGCGTCCCCCAGGGCCTGCTGTGAGTGCCCGTTCACCGATTTTCCTTTGCAGCTGGGTCTGTGTGCACAGAGGCTCCACAGGAGGCATCATCTTCGTGTCAGCCGGGCTCTAGGCCCCGGGGCCCCAGGTAAGGCTTTTGGACCTTTCTCTGGAATGTTGTGTTTTTTGTAACGTCACGTGTGTGTTTTCTGGGGCTTGGGTGACCGTGTAAGGGGAAGTGCGGTGCCAGGAGCATCCTGCTGTGGGGCAGTCCCCCACATGCCTAGGGGAGGGCCCTAGAAACCTGCTTGGGTGAAGGGCTCCCCGGGGCATCTCCCTTCCGAGCTCTGGGGTGTCAGTGCAAGTACCATTGTGATGGAGACCGGTCCCGCCTCTCAACCTGTCTAGCACTGTGACCCCATCTCAGACTCCACGTCTTCATCTGAAGAGCAAAGCTGGGATAGCAGCAAAAGTTCTAAAAAATTTTTCATGGTGTTGCCATGACCACATGATCCTGATCTTTTCAGCCCGAAAGCATTTGCAGTTTTTTATGCTGGAAGTGTCTTGACTCCCCCTGGCAGAGAGGTTTTGTGGGGTCTTGGCAGGACACGACAGAAACTGCTGGGACTCGGCTAGGCTGGGCTGCTCTCCCTGACCCAGGCCCCTGGCTCCAGCCTCCTGTCCTTCCTGGCTCTTTCTGCCCTTTTCTGTTCCTGCATCGCAAGTGATCGTGGGCTGCCCGTGCCCTGGTCACCAATAGTGCAGGGACAGGAGTCGCTGGAAGCCTTTCCCCGTGTTTGGAGGGCCCAGTTGTCCCCTCCAAACCCTGGAGCTTTCACACACTAGCTTTTTGGTCCTGCCATTTCCTTCAGCGCACGGGCCTTTGCCGGCCCACATGTGATATGGTGACCGGGCTGGGCCCCGGACTTGTGGAGGTTCACTTTGTCTTTGAAGTAAAGGAGCCTCCGGACAGCAACCAGTCCATACATTTGTATTTGGACCTCACACTGGAATAAGTTCAGATAATGCTGAAGGGCACATGGGAGAACTGTAAATCGTGGGTTCTGCTCTATGAACTTAACAGGAATGGAGGACAACCCATAATACATTATTCAAGGCAGCCCATGACTGACATGCTTGTTTGTGTGTTGACTTTGCTCCTTTACTCTTTTGGGTTTTTTCCCTTTACTGTTTATTTTTTTTCTTTTTTTTGCGGTACGCGGGCCTCTCACTGTTGTGGCCTCTCCCGTTGCAGAGCACAGGCTCCGGATGCGCAGGCTCAGCGGCCATGGCTCACGGGCTCAGCCGCTCTGCGGCATGTGGGATCTTCCTGGACCGGGGCACGAACCTGTGTCCCCTGCATCGGCAGGCGGACTCTCAACCACTGCGCCACCAGGGGAGCCCCCTTTACTGTTTCTTGAGCACAATGTGTACTGCTTCTCCAGGAGCAGCCAGTGGTGTCGAAAGAAAAATAAAGGTGGGCCAGATGTAGGAGCAAAGAGGGGTTCTACCAATTCTGAATCATTCAGAAAGGTTCCATTTGTCATGGTCTGCCAGAAGCCCGAGGAGTTCTCTTGTCAGTCACTGAAGAGAGAAGAGTGCCTTGACCTACCAACTTCTTTGTAGCCCCTGCTTTTAATCTGTGCTTTGGTGGGTTCTCTTTTAAAAAGGGTGACCCCAGGTGTTCACTAGGGAAGAAATTCCAGGCCTGTGGGTCTGTGAGTCTGTGTCTGTAGACTCAAGGCTTGCTTTCTGGTTCATGTTAGGATGTGGTGCGGCAGGAGGACTCTCCCGCCGTGTAGTCAGCCGTCAGCAGGGGGCTGCCCTTCTGCCTTTCTGCGCTGCAGATGTGTTGGGTGGAGGCCGCAACTCTGCCCCGGCGCCTTCACTTAGTAGACTCTGCAGGGGCAACGTGGTGCTCCCAAGAGGCATGTCTGGCTCCCAGACAAACAGGTGAGGTCAGGTCCCACTCACCCCCCACTTTTGGCCTGAGGGCTCCTTTTCTTCCATCTACATTCGAGTTTCTCCTGTTTGATCCTGTTTTGCCAGATGTTTTTGTTCTCATCTCATGATGATGTGAAGGTAGTGAGACTAATATTTGTGAACCACCTGGTCCTCAGTAGCTGTCTAACAAATCTGAGACTTCCCTTGTCTTTCAAACCTGCCCTCTGCCCCTTTGCATCAGAGGCTTGTCCTGTCCCACAGCCTAGTCCCTGGTCCTGGGGCTCCTCAGCCAGCCTGGAGCATTTAATGGCTGGTGGTGACCATTTTGAAAAGACTTTAGCTACCCCCCGTCCCCCCCCATCCCAGACCTGGCACTTTAAACCTCTGGGTGCAAAGTCCCACACGTTGAGTTGGGGGTCACTTGTGTAGTGTCCTCAAGCATTAATGATATTTTCTCATTATTCCTTCAAATGGGCCTGGCAGTCTTGATTTTCACCCATCTGGGCACCTAATGAGTCTTTCTGGAAGTTTCTCTTTCATTTGCCTTTCTTGGGTGGGCATATTAAGTGGGTCTTTGCAGAATAGGATGACAGCTGCTGGGGCCTTGGGATGGACTGGGCAGAGAAGTAATGACAGTGGTGGGAGAACTGCTGAGGACGATGGTCCATCCTTTGATCAAGATGCAGTAGGAACTTGGTGTCAGAGTCTCTGACAGTGAGATCAGACTGAGCTCTGGTGTATCTGGCCAGTTGCCTTTATTGGGAACTGTTTGAAAGAAAATTGTTTATTCTAAAAACCGAACCTTTGAGGTGTTTTCCTTTATTATCCCATCTATTCTGGTGATATCTAAGGTCAGTTTTTTTTGTTTGTTTGTTTTAATATTTATTTATTTGGCTGTGCTGGGTCTTAGTTGGCGGCATGTGGGATCTAGTTCCCTGACCAGGGATCGAACCCGGGCCCTCTGCATTGGGGAGCGTGGAGTCTTAGCCTCTGGACCACCAGGGAAGTCCTATTCTGGTGATACCTAGTAGGGCCTAGTCTATTGGGACCCTCTCAGTGATGTTACTTGGGGAGAAGATGGTGCTGCAGATTAAATGCTTGTATGGTTCTTCTCCCTCCTAGGTCAGCGTTCGATCTGGAGATCGTTGAGGAAGTCCCAAGGCCATGAGTCAGTGACTTTGGGGTGACTTGGGATCTGGCATTGCTGGTATTTCTCCCCAAGGTGAGTTAATGCCACGGGCTGGGAATCCACCGCCAGAGGGTTGGCTGGTTTGAGTTTATGCAAATGGGAACTCCCAACCGTTGGTCTCGTCTGTCCTTTCTTGTAGATTCCTTTTGTTCGTGGACACCAGCGGGGCAGAGAGTGGAGAGTGCAGTCCACACATGAAGAGCTCCCCACCGCCTGCTCAGAGTGTCATGGGAGAACTGTTTACTCAGCACGAGAAATCAGGGCAAAGCACTGGGACTGGGGGCTTGGGGCCCCCTTCAGCTGGCTCTGAGTCCCGACAGCAGTGCCCTTGGGCGCCATGGACAGGGAAGGCCTTTCCCCGTCCCTCTGCCATGCCTGCGTGACTTCAGCGACCAAGAGTTTTTCTCTTGAGTTGGCTGCTGCTCATCATCATCACTTTTCTCTCCACCCATCCATTCAATACACCGTATGCACCCGCCCCACCTGTGTTTCTCTCCACCCATCCATTCAATACACCGTATGCACCCACCCCACCTGCGTTTTAAGTCAGTAACAAGCCACGTGCCAGCAAGACTGGGCAGGGAGAAAGTGGGTCACAGGCCAAATCCTGTTTCCACTCTGAACCTTTCCGTCCTGCTCCTGAGGCTTGGCACGTGGGCTGTTGTTTGAGGTGTTCTGTTAGGACGGGTGTGAACAAACGCTGGTGGTTGGCTCAGGTTAGGACCTATGAGAGTTGAGGGCGTCGAGGAACAGTCAGGCCAGGGCTTGGGAAGGGTGTGGGGGCCGGAGTGAGACAGGTGCTGATGTCTTGGGGAAGCTGTGGGTGCCTGGCTAATGAGTACGTACCTGCTTGTGTGACCAACTGGCCTAGTTTGCCTGGAATTGAGAGCTTTCTCAGACATGGGACTTTTATTGCCAAAACCAGGAAAGTCCTGGGCAAACTGGAACAAGTTGGTCAACTTATCTGGGTGTAAAATACATGGTGTCAACTTGAGAGGACAGGTTACTGAGTAAAGGTGAGAATGGTGAACGTGGAGCTGCCATTGGTGGACTCAGTCTTTTGGAGATAATTGGGGTAAAATCAACAGTTGCACTGAGGACACGTATGTGAACTTTTTAATCTCCATTTTATAGATGGAGGCGTCTACATGAGGAAGTATGTCCCAAAGGCTGTGATGAAAGGCTCTACTTAATTGTCCAGTTTCTGCATTTGGAATTGAAACCACCTTGGCTAAGCTGAGGCAGGATTCAGGCTGTCAGGCCTGCCTGGTGGCTTTGACACCCTGAAGGTCTGTGCAGGGGCAGGCATTCTTCATGGCTGAAACGTTCTGCCCTGCTAGCCATTCTTCATGGCTGAAATGTTCTGCCCTGCTAGCCAGTTCCTGGTAGAGGCTTCCAGAAGCGGGCAGTCCTTTTTCTGTCTCACTCCGAGGACTGTCCTCTGACTTCTGTTTGCCACCTTTATTCAGCTGGTTGTAGCTGCCTGGAAAGATGCCAAGAGAAGGAGTCTGGGTCCACTGGAGCTAGCTGTGACTGAGCGTGGTGTTTGCTGCCATGCAGGAACAGCAGCAGCGGGACACAGGCCAGTCCTGAACAAGTGTTCCTGGGGACACCAGGCACTGGTCATCATGCTAGCCCTGTTCTACCGCAGTGTGTGAAGCACGAGCCATCCCAGGTCTGTAGGGCCTGAGGAGATCTGAGGAGAGCATTCATCCAGGGTGACCCAGGAACCAGGCTTAAGGTCAGTAAGGCACAAACCTTGGCTGGGAAACTAGGCCTCACTGGAGCAGCTGGTGGGAGATTAACCAGACATCATACTAGACATAGGGGTACAATGGTGAATAAGACAGTTTGTGCCCTAAAAGGGGTCACCAATAAATATATAGATAATGTCTCCACACACCAAACATTACAGGACATGCAGTGCTGGGCACTGTAGGTGTTGGGGATGCAGCTTTAAACAAAACGGGGTGCCTCCTGGAGCTTGCTTAGAACTGCTGTCCATTATGGCAAGCCACCAGACACTTGTGGCTCTTTTAATAAAACTTAAAATTCAGGTCTTCAGTTTTATCAGCCACATTTCAAGTGCTCAGTAGCCACAGGTAGCTGCGGGGTTGGACAGTACAGATACATAGAATATTCCCGTCACTGCAGGAAGTTCAGATAGCGCCAGTCTAGAAAACCAGGCGTTGAGTTCCATGAAAGGAGTTGCTGGGACACCTTTACAGAAAGGCTGTCATTTGAGGAGTCCAAAGAGGGCTGCTGTGCCTGGCGCTGCATTCCTGTGATTATGGGGGGGGGGGGGGGGGGTAAATCGGGGGCATCAGCCCGGCTGGGGTGTGAGAGCACTGGCTTCCGAGTCACAGACCTGGGGTCTAACTCAGCAGGGTGACATAATGTGGGTTTCCATCACCTGACCTCCGTTTCCCCTTGTGAAATGAGAACCACACCTCCACAGGAATATGGTGAGGTAAGGATTAAACAGACTTGTATGTGGAAGCCTGTGTAGGGTGTGGCTTCAGAAAGTGTTCAATAACTGATAGCTATTATTATTTATTGAAGTTTCCTCTTCAATTTTTTTTTGTCTTTTTTCAGCCTTGAGGCTTTCAGGGTATAGCCTGTAATGCTGAAGTTTCCAGGAAAGCAAAAATAGTTCCCCTCCTTTTACAACTTAAGATATGTATAATGCAATGGTTAATAAATATCTAGAAACATATACCCCCAAATTAGAGGATACATGCTTTTCTCAAGCACCTACATTTACAAATACTTTTTATGTTCCAGGTTACAAAACAAGTCACAAATACCAAAGAATCAGTTATACAGATTATTTGTATCATACTACAGTATAATTAAGGACGATAACAAAAATGGGTTTGGAAAAATCCATATATCTGGAAAATTTTAAATGTTCAAAAATAACTCGTCAAAGATGAAACCAGAGGGGAATTAGAAACTACTTAGAACTGAATGATAATGAAAATTTCTACATACCAGTACTTGTGAGTTGTAGCTAAAGTAATTCTGAAGAAGTTTGTGCCTCACGTGCTTATATTAGAAGAAAGGCTGAATAATTTTTATTAATAAGTAATAAAAAATAGAAGTAATGAGAATAAAAATTAGAGCAGAAACTAAAGCAGGGGGCAAAAATACAACAACAATCAACATGGCTAAGAGTTGGTTCTTTGAAAAGTCATGAAACTGATGAAGAAAAATAATTTCAGGAAGGGAAAAGGACATAGGACAGAACTGGGATTAAAAAAATACAGATTACTTTTCACGTATAAAAATTTAAACTTTGGGACTTCCCTGGCGGTCCAGTGGTGAGGACTCTGTGCTCTCACTGCTGGGGCCAGGGTTCAATCCCTGGTCGGGGAACTAAGATCCCGCAAGCTGCATGGCGCGGGCAAAAAAAAAATTTTAACTTTGACAAAATGAGCACATTTCTAGAAAACATCCAAAAAAGTTGCCTCAAAGAGAAAGAAAACTTGAATAGTCTGATAAAACCCATCTGATAAAAGACCACAAGGGAACAGTAAAGTCAGATTTATTTGCCTGTTGCAACATAAACTTTTTTGGTCACTGTTAAAGCTGTGACTTTCTCACAAGAGGAATTTTTGATCCTTTCTTGAATAGACATATAATGACCAAAACGTATGTCCCATTGTTAAGGGACAATTGAATGCAGTCCATTTGGAGGAGGTTGAAGGGACCCTGGGCTCTGGCTTCAGACTGTCCGCAGTTTTGTCGGGATTTGGTTGTAGACAGGACATGCATGAGAAACATTGGTCAGGCCTTTAAAATCTTCCCGCCAATGTTGGCTTTTGCTTACAAGAACTTTCTGATCAAGTCTATTATTCTGCATAAACCCAGTCAAGCTGGGTGTCTGTCACCTATAATCCAAAGCATCATTGATTCTTTTTCTAAGCTTGTCAGGTATGATGCTTATTAGGGTATCCTGTGATGGGCCCGGCCCTGGCGTGAGGCCCAGCAGGTGTTGTACTTCTTCAGGAAGACTTACCTGCTTGTGGTGCTGGCCTAGCTAACGCAGAAGTCCAGAAGGCAAGGGGACCAGCTGATCCGTTTAAATAAGTGTGTGTCAGCTGTCACTCCCAGCCTCCAGACAACGATCCGTTCTCAGGCTCAGCCTTGTTTGTCAATCTACCTACATGTCTGCTGACGTTAAAAATAAAACAGCAGACATGCCTCCTGCCAGTGGGAGAAGAGTGTGTGTGGGGGGGGGTGTGTGAAGTGGGCGTTTGTGGTTGGAGGGGACATGCTTCTACCCTGAAAATCCAGGAAAGTAGGCAGGGTTGTCCAATGACCTTGGTCAGGAAAACCCATGAGAAACTGGGGAACCTATTGCTGCCAAAAGATGCAGAAACAGAGAAGGAGGGGCCAAGGAGACTGGAAAGTTTTTATAATAAGTTTTTTTCAAATAGCCCATGATTAGAGCAGTAGATTGGATACAGTAATCTGCAGGAAAAATCGTAACTTTCTTTGCTAACTACCCAAGCATTCCAGGATAATGTTTGGCGTTGGTTCATTATCTTTCACCATCCTTGCCAAAAATCTCACATAGCATATGTCAGTTGTATTCACTGAATAATATTCCATTGTTTGTATCTATCACATCTTGCTTATACATTCATCTGTTGATGGACATTTGTGTGGTTTCCACCTTTGGGCCATTGTGAATAATGCTGCTATGAACATCAGTGCACAAATAGCCATTTATGTTCCTACTTTCAATTCTTTTGGAGAACGGGGTCTAGGCGCGCGGGCTTCAGTAGTTGTGGTGCATGGGCTTCAGTAGCTGTGGCTCGCGGGCTCTAGAGCACAGGCTCAGTAATTGTGGCACAGGGGCTTTGTTGCTCCGCGGCATGTGGGATCTTCCCAGACCAGGGTCCGAACCCGTATCCCTTGCATTGGCAGACGGATTCTTAACCTCTGTGCCACCAGGGAAGTCCCCACCATCTCTTTTTGAGAATAAAATGTTATTGGGACACAGTCACACTAATGAATTTACCCATTGCCTATGGCTGCTTTCACACTACAACAGCAGAATCGAATAGTTGTGAAGATATAGTCCATGATGCTGAAAATATTATCTGTCCTTTATAGAAAATGTTTGCCAACATGTACTTTAGATGATTCCTGAATGCATATTTTAAGTTTTGATAGAGAATTATTTTAGTCTATTTGAGGAAAAAATATAACCAGGGTGTCAAAACTGTGGTTTCATGAATGTTATTGTTTAGGAGGAAACTGAGTTTAAAGAGCGTGCTAATGGAAAGCGGACTTAATGAAATAGTACATAGTGGTACAGATGGTCTTTGGCTCAGGCAGAATTGTGAAGGTGGGGAGGGAGGGCCTGATACTTGAGGCCCACTGGACCGTGCAGGTGCTGGGCGATAGCGGTAGATGCTGAGCATGACCAGAGAGCTTCAGGCCAACCCCTCTGTCGGGAATGGTGGCTGCTGCTCTTTTCAGTTAACAGTGATAGTAAATAATGGGCTGTTATGCCTGGTGCTTTCCATTTCTCAAAGGACTTTCACGTCTGTTATCTCAAATGGATATCATTATTTCCACTTAGCAAATTCATCCATTAATTCCTTACCAAGGATTTATTGAGCATCTGTCGTGTGCTGGGTGGTATTTTAGATGCTGGGGATAAAGCCATGAACAAAACAGGCAGAGCTGCTACCCTGTGGACCTTAAATTTTAGTAGGGTGGGTATCAGGATTTTGGCAGCAAGGAATCAAAATCCATGATGCCCTCTGGCTTGGGCAATAAGAAAATTTATCATCTCATGACAAGAGGTGCAGTGTTAAGTTGGGCTGCAGGCACAGCGTGCTTTTGGTTTTGCTCTCCTTCCCTGTGTTTCTCTTGAACCTGCTCATCGCCATATGTTACCATCCTCTGGTGGGTATCAAGTTTGCTTTGGTGTATCCTGACATGACAGCACCCACAGGAAAAACAGAAACAGTTTCTTCCTTGTGTCTCTTTCTTAGAAATGAAAAACTTCCCCAGAAGCCCCACTGCAGACGCTGCAGACTTCCCCATGTGTCTCATTGCCATTGTATTATTTAAATTTAGATTGGACTGCATATTACAAACAATGGTTCAAAGAAGTGTTAAATACAAAATGGAGACTGGACTTGAGAATTCCCTGAGCAGACAAAACCATTTAAGCACACAAGCAAAACTAAATCCAGCTTAGTTCACGAACACAAGTGAAAGTTAAGTTAGGTTATTTCTTAAAAATGCCTCTGACAACCATCATAAAAGAAACTTAAGTCATCTTCCTGAAAATGGTATGAGATATTGGGTTGACCAAAAAGTTCGTTTGGGTCTTTCTGTAAGATGATACAAAAACCCGAATGAACTTTTTGGCCAACACAATAATTGCTTTTTAAAAATGCAATGCAGTATTATTAACTAGGGTTACCATGCTGTACATTATATCCCCATGACTTATCTATTTTATAACTAGAAGTTTGTACCTTTCGACTCTCTTCACCCATTTTGCCCATTCCCTGCCCGCCACTTCTGGCAATCACCGATCTGTTCTCTGTATCTATGAGCTTGTTCTTTCTTTAGATTCCACAGATAAGTGAGATCATACAGTATTTGTCTTTCTCTGTCTGACTTATTTCATTTATCATCATGCCCTCAAGGTCCATCCATGTTGTCACAACTGGCAAGGTGTCCTTTTTTATAGCTGAATATATATACCAC